TGAATCAAAAGTTATTTAATTTTAAAATTTCATTATATATATAATAAATGATTATATATATATTATTTATTTTTTATTTTATTTTATTTTTTTTAACATCTACCCTCTTGGGAGCTAGGATTTTTATTCAAGTATATTTAGCAGAGGGTTCTCTTAAGGAACCCCTTACATTAGAGAGTACATACTAGCCACACATACACTTTTGGTGTCTATTTTAAGTAGTCTATCTGTACATTATACAGGTTCCACACTAGATGTCGTACCTGTAACCCAACTATGAGTATTATCCATTTAACCTCTCTGTAATGTAGCTAAACCTGTATCACCAGGACATCTCCGTTATATTCGTCAGTCAAGAAGTCCCAGATGCTTTATCTCCGTTATCCTTAGAACTAATTTATCCTTGAGAGATCGATACTAGAGCGGTCCGGACCTACAATCCGGATCACCTAGATTCAGTAACTTTACGTCGAGTTCAAAAACAAGTACTTGCAAACATGAAGCCGCTACCAGTTACCTACTACCCCTTGTAGAGTTCACCCAAACTCCAGTATTCACTTTACAGACTCTCAACTGTGTCTTTGACTATCCCAAACTACCAATCCAGATAACTCGGAAGGGGTTTACCCCTGGTATTTGCAACTAAGCAGATCCTTTTCCTTCGGTTCTGATGGACTTGGTTTCAGCGGCCTGGTTGGTGGAGTGCCTTGCCATATACCGGTCTCGTTCAGTTTTTGCCAGTTATTCGGTAATAATCTTTTATGTAGTATCATCGAAGATCTGTGCTATCTCTCTACTTGGGTCTTGCCAAGCAGGTATCTATCTTTCCGGTTTCTTGGGTTTATAACGATCCAGAACTTTTTTCATATAACTCATATATCACATGAGTACCCTATGTACCAAGGTTACAGAAATCCCATTCCAACTGATCGTCAAAAGACAGTAGCCGTCATACAGATAGAATATTCGAAATTTGTCACCAGTGGGTTTCGAACCTCTACCTATTTAACATATTGCTTATAAATAACAATGATATAATAAATAATAATAATAGTTTAGATAATCTATATATTAACAATAGTTCTTCTTTTAATAATCTTTCTCCTAATAATTAAGATACAGAAGCTGGTATTCACTTTGCACCAAATCCCTATATATATTTTTTAATATATTAATCTTCTAAAATAGTACCTCACAATTCATCTCCTATACCTTCAACTTCAACAAATATTTTATTTATATCAACTTCAACTTCAACAAATATTTCACTAACGAGTTCATCATCATCAATCCATAAGGATAAACAATCATCTGTTAAGTTAGATGATTCATCTCCTTTAATTTTGAAAACCTACCTGAGAAAACAATACCTAGTGATCCCCAAGTTCAACAAGTTCTCTATCACTTTAATCGTCTAGTTAAGACTATAGAAAAAGGACAATCTTAATCTTCTAAAAAAACTTTTCTTGTTCAAATTCCTGTCTTTAAAGGAAGAGAACAGGATTCTATATATTGGCTAAATAAATTTGCAACTTATGTTCTATTAATAATATTCAGGAATTCCAAATATTAATTATTATTTCTGCTTATCTAAAAGGATCAGCACAGTTCTAATAGAGGACTGTTGCTAATAAAGTTCAGTTTTGAAGAAATAATTTAAGGCTAACTTAATCTTTCGTCTATTTATTTTAACCTTAATTTTGTACTACCCATCAAAATCTCGATGGCTCACTAATCTCTGATCTCAAGTTCAACAACCTGGTGAAACTGTTGAGGATTATTATGCTAAATTGGAATATCTAAATCAAAAAATTGATCCAAATAATCGATATCCATTAGAAAATAAACTATGACAATTTATTGATAGACTAAGAAGTGAAATTTGGGAATCAGTTGAAATTTCTTGCCTTACTACTATAGCTCAAACCTTACACTGGTCGAAATCAAAAATATAAACCAAATATCATCAAGCAATCATCTAATCGATAGCTGGCCGATAGTTTG